GTGTAGAGGAATACGCCATGATAATTTTGGGGCTAAAAAGCTGGAGGATTTTAAACATATTATGTCACTGATGACGGAGATTAGCAAGCATGACGCCCTTGTCCTGTTGACGCAGGCGGCATTCATTCCAAGGCTGTCATACTTTTTACGTACCTCTCCTGGCCCGTCTCAACAAACATCAGATGAATTCAACAACGAACTGCGCATGAGTTTTCAGACTATATTTAATGTGTTTTTTGATGATAAAGGTTGGAGGCAGGCTATATTGCCGGTAAATATGGGTGGACTGGGTTTGGGTGTCGTGGCCGAGTTGGCACCATCAGCATTTTTGTCATCGGCCGCGGCCACGGCATCCCTCCAGGATAAAATCTTACCAATGAATGTAGCATACCAGGATGATTTGAGACTTGAAACATTTTGGCGTTGGTGCACGGTTTACGGGGATATAATGGACATAAATGTGTGTTCGCAGAAGAAATGGAATGAACCATTTTTGAATGTTTCAAAATCAAAACTGGATGAATTAAATGACTCTCCCTCAGATAAGGCCAGGTTGATGGCCGTCAGAAGTGAATTGGGGTCTGCTTGGCTAAGGGCCATTCCCAGTACAGCTTGTGGTACAAGGCTCGACAATGGTTCTATTAGAGTGAGTTTATGCTTGAGACTTGGGTTACCGGTGGTGTCAGGTTACAGATGCTTGTGTGGGGCGGATGTTTTTCAGTTAGGTCACCATGGTTTATCGTGTAGGCTTGGTTCAGGAAGACAAGCAAGACACTCTGCCATGAATGATTATACATGCAGATTATTTCAGAAAGCAGATATACCCGCCGTTAAGGAACCAGCAGCCTACTATCTGAAAGCAACTTCAGGCCAGATGGTTACACTCTGGTACCGTGGTCCCAAGGTTGTTGTTTATCATGGGATGTGACGTTTCCTCACACGTTAGCCGAAAGGTACATCAATTACACGGCTAGGGAGCAAGGTTCCGCTGCGGTGAAAGCTGCTGATTTCAAGAATACTAAGTACAAACATCTAAACGACAATACGAGAGTTTTCGTTCCGATCTGTATGGAGACATTTGGCCCAGTGGATAAACAGACACAATTATTTTTTGATAACATTGGTACTAAAATAGTTGAAAAATCTGGTGATCCCAATGATAAAATTTATATTTAGCAAAATATATCGTTGTTGTTGCAAAAGTTTAATTCATTTTGTATTTTAGAGAACATTGCTAAGTGCCCTTCTGTGCGAGACCCTGTAACTAATATTATCTGTTGAGCAGGGGCGAAATGATAGTTTTTATGGCTATTGTTTTTAACCAAGGGCTCGCACATACATACATACATACATACATACATACATACATACCGACATGTGCAATTAACGACAAATCAAAGCGTTAATCCATTTGTTACTTGATGTTTGACTGTTCAGTGTCACTCATGTTTTGGTTTTAACATACATACATACATACATACATACATACATACATACATACATACATACATACATACATACATACATACATACATACATACATACATACATACATACATACATACATACATACATGCATGCATGCATACATTCATACATACATACATACATACATACATACATGCATACAATGCT